ATGTCAAGGCGATACAGCCAAGGTCTTGTTAGAAATTCTTCCTCAAAACCAATTCCTTCCAGTGAACAGTTTCAGCTGCCTGCTAGTACGTTTCCGTGAAAACTAACTTTGAACTCCGAGAATAGGAAGGAAGTGGCCGCGGCCAGGTGCAAAGAGCCTTCAGAGCCTAGATCCGTTCAATTGACAATCATCGTATAACTCTCGACTGTCAGTCAGGTTACCGCCTCTACATTTCTTCTAAGCAGGCACTCGTATCTCCTCTTTTATCATCTCTCTCTTTTTGGCCTACGCACAAAACCCTCTCGAATGCTGGTTACGGAAGGGAAATATGGCTGATGATAGGCAAGGGTGTGAAAATGTTTTTCACCCTTCAAAGATGTTTTCCTCCAAAGTGAGCGACACAAGCATGCCCTGTGTCACTCAAGATTCAGTTCTATTGAATTTCATCGAGACTAGACAAGTTCACAACAATCCTCTGAATGCCCACGTATTGTCCGAAAGGTAACTTTATCATCACCATAAACGGGTGATGTGAAGGAGATGGAGCTTCGCTTTCCTAACGAATCGCTATAGTCTCTTCAGACGATAAGCGGCTCTCCTCTTCACATGAAAAACTTTATCCATTAGCTGGAAAGTAGTTGAAAAAAGCGCATTAACAACGTGACAGCAAAATGCCACTGCCTCAAGATATTAGACCTCAGAAATGTTTCCTGTCGCTTTCTGTGCGATTGAAGGAAATTTATAAAATTCATTGACATCAACACTTTCGCCCCGCTGGATTAGCGCTAACCCCATTTCTTTCCATCTATTACGGTAAGTGCGAGAAAACCGATGAAATTGCTTCGAATTTCCCAGTGATTATACCCTCAACTCTATAATTTACTCAACTCGCAACAGCATTCGCGCTTCTCATAAACTCTGTTTGTCTACCCTCATTATGACCGCTGGGCAAATTTACTTCACCTCTTTTCTCCAAGTTCGATTCAAAAAATGAGTCAGTTATTATATGAAGCAATTTTGAGCATCATTCAGCATCTCAGTACCCTTCAGTTACTAGTACAACTAATCTAAAATTCTTTGAAGGGGTGAAAACATCGCATTGCGTTAATCTTTGAAATAACTCTTTCAAAAATAGTGCAATCTTTGCAGCGCCCTTGCGGAAAAAAGTCCTTTTTCAACTTGTACAATTACACTTAGCTGCAGTGTCTGACTACCACGGCTTCACGTGACATCCACCCCATCATAGTCATGCTCAAGTGAGCTGGCAAGGGGATAAGGGGATGGCGCAGAGTGTCGGGAATTCCCCCACGCTAGCATATTATTCTCAATTTTCATGAAGCTCTATTCACTAAGATTCACCATGCGGATTTCCAAGCGGCGTTCTATTCGCACCTCTTTAGTATTTCCCATCGATTATACCCCAATCTAACGTTAAGTAGCCGGCTTTCACACTACCCGTAGTGGCCCGAAGTGGGGGCGTTATTTTGAATATACTCATTTGCCCCTTCCTGAATTCATTGTTTTGAAACCTTTTGCTATGTTTCTTTTATTTCAGCAAAATATGATGCTTATTACATTTGTTGCCGTATTCCATATTCATTTTCATGCACCTCTGAGGGTCTCAACCCCATTTGATAAGTTTGGTATTCGATTTGGAATTCAGTAAACTAGCTCACATATGGTTCAATAAAAAAAATCGATAATGTACGTTTGATTTTCGACTGTGAAAATATTCGATTTTATAGCATAAAATTACCAACCAATTCGAACAGAACAATCCCCTCTCTCCAGCCCCATATTGTACGTACTGCGGCGGTAATCGTCACTGTTGTTAATCATGAGACTAACAGAAATATTTTACGAAGAATTGCTTTACGTACCCACACATCCCTATATCGTACTGCCCGACCATTTCTTCCATCCTCATTGTGGACGAGGTACTACAGGGTACTGGACTAAACTGTTAGGACTGAAAGGCTGACTAGAGAAACAAACTGGCCTTACATTGCACAGATAAAATTAGCATTGTGGAATTTTGTGAAGAAATCGAGCACATGGGGAATCAAAAAGCACCTGGGCCTTCACAATTCACTGATATTGATTAATAGAAAGTCAATAAATTCCGGATTTGGCATCGCATTTGGCATGAGCATGACCTCATCTCCCTATCATTCTCTGATTTCCTTCCCTACTTTCATCCACAAAGCGAAATTTTAAAGTATTTCTAAAAAATCTCAATTAAATCAATAACCGATAAATCAATAACCAATACTCACAATCGATATCGATCCAAATTTATCCCCTACGGCCACCGTGTTGTAATCCAACACACAACATGTCGTAACGTAACGTGGGGTGGTGTCATCGCAGAAAATAACCAATTGATTTTCCTGGAAAATGACGCTACTTGCCAGCTAATACTTACTAATTAAGCGGAATTTATTCGTGACACTAACCGCTTTCCTGTAACGTACGAAGTGCACCGATTCCTGCGAATCCGTCACGATAATACGTTGGCCGGTCGATTGAATACCAGTGATTTGCACGGGGAAATTCTGAAAAATTCATATCAAAAATGCCTATAATTACAAAGCACTTCGTAAAATGAACTGCGCTTCTGAAGAGCAGGAGAGGGACCGCCTCAAGTAAACAACTCGATAGGCTTTTAAGGACACTTCTAAGTATTCCTATACACGCAATAACTTCTAAATCCTGTCAGATGAGCCTATGCTTCACACTCCAAATTCAAAGTCCAAAGAAGCCCCATAACTTCAATATTTCTTCTGGGCCAAGGAAAAACAACCAACTACTCTTGATGGCCACTGAAAAAGGGGTGCCCACGACATTTACTAAAAATCTAAACTCTCCTTGAATTGTGACTGTCACTTGAAATGACCGCTAAGCAATCACGCCAACTAATTGGCTCTGTCGGCAGCACGCTCTTCGGCCCACCCGCAAAAACCAATCAAACTCACGATTTAGTGGTCCGTCAGTGGAGGAAATCAATTTTCCCATGTCTTTTGCTTAGTCACCCTAAGGACTGGAAACATTTTCATCTCGGTCACGCTAAAATTTCTATAATCTGATAAGCTGTGGGTGTCCTTGCAAAAAATTACCGTCGAGCGGGGGGTATATACTTCTGGGGGGAGGATGGGAGGGGGGGGGGTATATACTTCCCTTAAAACCGCAAAAATTCCCTACATTTCCTTGCAATTTCCCTATGTTTTACCCATATTTCAACTGCTCCATTTTCTAGGGGGATATATACACATTGCTTTTAATGTAGAGCTTTACAAACGCTTTTCGCTGTTAAGCTACGGAGTATTTTTGAAGCATATACATTTTAAACGAGAATTGCGTTGAACTAAATTAAGAGAACGGAAACCAGAGATCACATCGAGTCAGAGATCTTCTGGTTGAAAGCAGCCTTTGCCTTCTGGGTAATTGGCAGTGAAAATGACTCAGGCTTCTACAGCAGCCTTTATGTGCAGTGGAGTGTTCATGTGTGTCTGTCTGTGTGTTTGGTGTCCAAAGCAGCCAGTAAGCTAATAAGTGATGAAGTTGAGCAAAAGCGGGTGGTGAAAGCGTTTTAAAAACAAGCCGAGGTCCATTCAGCGACAAACGTAACCTGGAGCTTAGAGGTAAGCAATTCTCGACACGTTTACAGCCCTTGGAACCCGGAAACGGATGTCGGCGATCAACACGCACTGGAATAGAAAATAAAGGCCAAGGGTAGCAAATCTTGGGATGAACGTCATTGTCTAATGAGGAAATGGGCAACGTCCAGCTGAGCAACCCAGCCTATGCTTCTTTCAGCTCCGACATAACTGTCTCCCATCAATGCACGAGTTATTGCATTATATTCGTCCTGAAAATAGCTCTTCTATGCATGAGAAGCGCCTGGAAGGAATGTATAGCAATAACGGAAGCTATCATGGGATTCACGGATGGCTAAGGATGCGGAATAGCAGAACGAAAATGATTCCCCTGAGAAGGTTGGGGTCAAATCTGACTAAGTGGGTGCCTTCGACGATGTCAAGAGAGTTAGCAACAGCGGCAGAGTGATGAAATTCGAACCACCGGCCGTGGCCGATGGAAAGATGCTAACAAATTACGCTTGGAGAAAGAATCGCAGCCCAGCGTGGAACGCGAGCAGCCAAGGTTTGTGCTACAATAGTACGAGTAGACTTTATGGAGTAAAGATCTCAGGCTTGGTGGAGCGTTATATGTCACGAGTTGTTGCACTGTTTAGTGCGAAACTTCACGCAAATAGCTGAAATCTTTCTGAAGGCTGCCAACTGAGGATGGTAAAGGTACTGCGAGGAGCTGGCTTGGAGTTTATGGGAAGTTTGAATTCAGAGTTGATGCTCTG